AGGCAGGCAGAGAGAGAGGAAGGGAAGCAGGCTCCCTGCCGAGCAGAGAGCCCGACGCGGGACTCAATTCCAGGACCCCGAGATCATGACCCGAGCCGAAGGCAGCGGCTTAACCCACTGAGCCACCCAGGCGCCCTTGATTTATATTTTGAATACCTGTGAAACAGATTTCCGGAGTTCTTTACCCCAAAAGGTGCAGCTCTTAGGCAGTGCCCCAGGAGTCTGTAGAAAGGTGCAGATGGAGCCAATTGTTGGCCCAAGCATCTCCTGTCAAGATGACTGTGGGAAGTTCAGCCAGTTGTGCTGACCCTTGGGTGCTTACCTTTATCAGGGACATCTTGGTTAAGGGATGAAAAGCAGTACATATCTAGTGAGCTCCATTGTATGTAATGGTATTACTGCTGTCCCTTGAACAGAAAAATTTGTCCATTGAACTTCAAATGGAAGTTTGAAGCGTACAAACTCTGATTGCACTTCACTCAGCTGAACCCAAGTTACTCCTCAGTTTTCAAGGGATTCAGAAGAGTGGTGACCTCCTCTAGCACCATGACATCTAACAAAAGAATGAGGACAGGGGAGAGCATGTCCTTCTGCAGATGGGATATGTCATGGGGCCCCGATTTGGTTTTATCCTGTAGCAAGGAGGGCTTGGTGGTTGTGCTGAGCTGCAAGGTGTTGCTTTTAGAACCCAAGGCATGAACAGCTGGGTTTGGAGGATTACAGGCACTGGGCTCGTAGATCCTCTATTTCCAGGAAAGTCCATCATGCTGTCAGTAACTGCTGTTCTAATGGCATATAGTGTGGAGCTAGGGAGATAGTTTCTTGCATCAGAACCTGTGGACAGCTTACAGACACTGTGGGTGGTGCAGGCTCCAGTTGCTGAAGTCTCTATGGTAAAGGGTTCTCTGTGTGTATGTGTGTGTGTGTGTGTGTGTGTTTTGTTGGCGGGGAGTAGCACTAACAGAAGTGTCTATGATAATTTTGACAAATTTTAGAATCATTTTTGGGAGGGGTCCTCATTCAGCATGACTCATTTGCAAGTAACAGTATAGATAGGCTTAAGTAAAATTTGTAATGAGGAATATTTTTCTCCAGACCCCCAAAATGCCTGATAAATATTGAGCTTGTTTTAATATTGTGGGTGCCAAGAGGGTTTTCTTGACATTATTGGGGTGGAGAGGCCCTTGGTTTACTAAATACTTTTAACTAAGGTGGCAGTCCTTATGCTGTGTTTGGGGCAATGGTCCATCCCCTTTTTGTGAACTCCTTTGTGCATATTTGTATGTCCTGACTGGTATGTCAGAAGAATGTCTTCAGAGGAGAATGTAATCCAGGTAATGTCATACCTGTGCTCCTGGAGAAAAATGGATACAATTACAATATTGCCTGTAAAGGTTGCATGTGATGGCAAGCCTTTCGAGGTATCTTGTGTGGCTAGCTAGATAAAGGTATATCGTGTCCCACTAGAGGTGAAAGAAAAATGTGACTGAGAGGTTACTGAGAGAGACATTGACTAGAATATTAGCCAGATTTAAAATATCAAATATTTCCTAGTTTCTGATTGGATAGAGTCAATAATTTCCATAGTACTGGGGACAGGGGCCTTAATGGGTAGGTGCACCGCATCAAGGGCACAGTAATCCACTGTGAGGCACCATTCATTTTCCCAACTTTAACAGGCCACATTAGGCTGTTAAATGGAAAAGCAGTAGGGATAATTAGTCTTTCACTATTTAGGTCCTATGTAATAAATCCCAATCCTCTAAGGCCCTGTTTTATGTTATATTGAATTGTATTTACTATTTTAGCTAGAGGTTGGAGGAGGGCTGGTCCACAGGGTCTCACTTTTTTTTTTTTTAAAGATTTTATTTATTTATTTGACAGAGAGATCACAAGCAGGCAGAGAAGCAGGCAGAGAGAGAGGAGGAAGCAGGCTCCCCGCCGAGCAGAGAGCCCGATGCGGGGCTCGATGCGGGGCTCGATCCCAAGACCCTGGGATCACAACCCAAGCCGAAGGCAGAGGCTTTAACCCATTGAGCCACCCAGGGTCTCACTTTTTAAAAAGCCATTTGTACGCTCCAAAGACTATTTAAATTTTTTGTTGGGTCAGAGCATCCATTGCCCATATGGGATATTTTAGGGTGATGTGTACTATACTATATTACCAGGGAGAATTTAGGCAAGGCAGTACTTCTGGGGGTTAAAGTGATGCATACCTATTTATGGTCCATTTTATGTTGAGTAATTCCCTTAAGATTATAGGAGGTGCCTTGTTTAAATTTAGTGGTGTAACTATAGTTTGAGCCCAGTATTGATTAAAGTCATGAAAATTTGCCACTTGATACATTTCAACAGATGTTGAAGTTAATTAAAAAACCTTTGCCGTACAGATACAAAAGCCAATCTTTATCTTTTGTTGTATAAATTATTTTAATAAGTTTTGCATTTTGGATTTCCAACTAGGCCAAATTGTGGATTTCTGTTTCAGTTTTTCTGTTTGGTTTCTTTTTTTCTTTTTTGGTTTGTTGCTTTGTTTGTTTTTTTTCTCTCCCTCTTGGTGGTGAGTGAATATGGTGGTGAGTGGAGGGAGTCCTATCTACCATTTCATATTTATAAATTTGAACCTTCAGGGAACCTCAAGTCAGTATCGCCAGGGCTAAGGGCATGTGGTTATTTTATGGAGTTTAAAAACCCTATTTTGGGGCACCTGTGCAGCTCAATTGGTTAAGCATCTGCCTTCAGCTCAGGTCATGATCCCAGAGTCCTGGGATTGAGCCCCTCTGGGGCTCCTGCTTCTCTCTCTCCCTGCTTCTCCCTTTCTCTTTGCCTGCTGCTTTGCCTGCTTGTGCTCTCTCTGTCTCTTTCACTGAGTCAAATAAATAAATAAATAAAATCTTTAAAAAAAAAAAAAAAAGCCCTGAGCTTAAGTTGAGGCTGAATTACCCCTTTGCTGTGCCACCTGGGTGCCATGGGTGGTTTTCTCTATAAACCCAAGGATCAGGATTTCTGTTAAACAGAGGCATAGGTGGCAGCAGCAGCAGGACAAGCAGGAACAACAGAGGTTTTTAAGGGGCCTGGTGAGCTCTAATTGTTCTCACAAGGGCTGCTCCCTTCCCTCCTCCGAACTCTTTTCTCTCCCTTTTGTAAACTCCATAATGGCTCTCTTTCAAGAGCGACCACCCATTGGGCCCACATCTTGCATAGGGTATACTCTCCCCGCCCACCACCAGTCCTCAATGGGGGCCAATGCCTGATTCATTTGTTTTTAACTCAATTGTTTGTATAAATCAGAGTGTATTTGCCAGCTTCCCACAAATGGTTAGTAAGGTTGCTTCCACTCTCTTAGTATTACAAATATAACAAACATTGTTGACTCTATGTACATAGGGTTTTAGTTTATACCCATTTTAGGCCTTACTAGGTACTGCAGATTACTCTTCAAAGAGGTTGAGCTAATTGTCACTCCCATTGCATGGTATTTTTGCTGTTTAATCTTCCTCTAGCTGACTATGAACTTCTGGAGGCTAAGGACTTTGTTTTATTCATTTTTTAAAAAAGATTTTATTTATTTATTTGACAGACGGAGATCACAAGTAGGCAGAGAGGCAGGCAGAGAGAGAGAGAGCCTGATGCAATGTGGGGCTCCATCCCGGGACGCTGGGATCATGACCTGAGCCGAAGGCAGAGGCTTTAACCCACTGAACCACCCAGGCACCCCTGTTTTATTAAATTTTTAATTCCCAGTGCTAATTAAACTACCTAACAGTAGTAGTCGTTGGAGAATATTTGTCACATGTGTGAATATATGAACTGTAGAGGGAAAAAAAACCATTACTGTTTTCTAAAAGCTTAAATATTGTTTTCAAGTTAATTTATCTAGTTTGAACATTAACTCTTCTCATTTTAAAATGAGCGTTTCTCAGTAAGTAATTTAAATTATTGGTACTTGTTCCCAGGTAATAAACGAAGGGGAGTCAAGCTTTGCTGCTGAGCCCCAGGAAGAGTTAGAGGAGAATCCTGGTCCAGTTGTGGATGAGAGTAATACAGTTTCAGCAAAAAAACAGGGACCAAATTTACATAACTGGAGTAGTGACTGGAGCTTTTGGGTAATATTTTTTTCTTCCTTATATCTTCATTTTAATCTTAAATACAAATTTTCTTTAAGTTTATAACAACTCATAAAATATAGTGTTGTCTTATTAGCGTCTAGATTTCAGATGTTTAAGTCCAGAGTCCAAGACATTTCTGATTATGCTCTCCTTTGGCCACTAGAATGCACTGTTGTCTGGTTTGCTGGAGTGGAATTGTCTGCTTCGGTTTCCCTGGAAGAAAACTACACCACAGAACTGGATTCCACTTACACTGTTGTTCACTGTATTAGCAAGACTAATGTTATGCAGAAACCGTATTTCTAAATGTTACTGAGAAATCAGCTATTTTACATAATTTTGATTTAAAGAATTAGCTTTGATACCGAAAAGGAAGTGTAACAATATTTGACCTGTAGCATATTAATAATTATAAGATAGGTTTTGAAGGTAAGAGTTTCACATTCTGTTTGCACTGTACTTACTTGGTTGTATGACCTGAATATGGTTCAGGTTTCCCCCACTGTAAAATGAGACTCCTGCTTGTTGATTAGGTGCACAGAGTTTTTTGGTAAGAATAACATTTCTATTGCTGTATGAATGCTAACATTTATTATTTTAAAGGGCTCGTTCTAAATCTCGCGGTTCCTGACAGTTATGAGATATTTGAAAGAATCTGGTATAATGCAACTATAAATGAACTTTATACAAGATTATAAGGCATTTATAGTTCAATATTAAGCTGATCTCTTGACGATTAGGTATATACTTGGTAGCAGAATTTCTTTTCTTTTTTTTTTTTAAGATTTTATTTATTTATTTGACAGAGAGAGACACAGCAAGAGAGGGAACACAAGCAGGAGACATGAGAGAGGGAGAAGCAGGCTTCCCGCTGAGCAGAGAGCCTGATGCGATGCCTGGCTAGATCCCAGGACCCTGGGATCATGACCTGAGCTGAAGGCAGATGCTTAACAACTGAGCCGCCCAGGTGCCCCAGTAGCAGAATTTCTTATAATTTTAGAGTAACCTAAAAAAGACATGATATTAACAGGTTATAAAGATTAGTATAAGTACCATTATTCTGTTCATAATTAATAGCTCAGTTTTTGAATATTACTGAAACTTTTTAAAAAAAGATATTATCTATTTATTCATGAGAGACAGAAACAGAGAGAGAGAGAGGGAGAAGCAGGCTCCCCTCGGATCAGGGATCCCAATGTGGGGTCTGATCCCAGGACCCCGGGACCACGACCCAAGCTAAAGGCAGACACTCAACCAACTGAGCCACCCTGGTGTCCCAAATGCTATTGAAACTTAACATAAATAACCGTTTCTTAATTCCTGTTAAGAAATGCAACTAAGTTTTAATTATTTATTTATTTTTTCGTGCTCTTGATCCTTTTCGGACGAGAGCTTAAAGACTACTGATTTTGAAGATTTTATTTATTTATTTGAGAGAGAGAGAGAAAGTGAGAGAGAGCATGAGAGGGATGAAGGTCTGAGGGAGAAGCAGATTTCCCACGGAGCTGGAAGCCTGATGTGGGACTGGATCCCAGGACTCCAGGATCTTGACCTGAGCTGAAGGCAGTCGCTTCACCAGCTGAGCCACTCCAGCACCCTTCAACATAAGTTTTTAAAAACCATATCCTGAAGAAAATGTTTAATTGCTAAGAAATATACCAAAAAACTACACATCCTGAAAATGATGTCATCTATATTGATTATATTACTTTTGGTTACATTCAGAGAAAGTTTTTGACTATTATAATGTTTTAGCCATTCTGTACTATGATTTTTGTTGCTACGTTATGGATTGGAAAACCTTTATAGTTCTAAGAGCTATCTACAGGACTAAAAAGTCGCTGTGGTTATTCTTGGCAGACTTAAAGCAAGAAGAAGGGTAAAGCAAGAAAAGGAACAAGCAGGGGAATGAGGATTTAGTAATAAGAGAGAGAAAAAGAAGATATATGCGTTCTAGAGCTTTGCTACTCAAAGTGTAGAATGTGGGGCCAACAAATTTGGCATCACCTGTCAGCTGATTAGAAATGCAGTCTTGGGCCCAGCCTCAGATCTACTGAATTAAAATCTTTATTTCACAAGAGTTCCAGGAGATTTGTATGCACTTTCAAGTTTGAGAAGCACTTGTTTAGAGTGTTAAAAGTCTACTTTGGGGCGCCTGGGTGGCTCAGTGGGTTAAGCCGCTGTCTTCAGCTCAGGTCATGATCCCAGGGTCCTGGGATCGAGTCCCGCATCGGGCTCTCTGCTCAGCAGGGAGCCTGCTTCCCTCTCTCTCTCTCTCTCTGCCTGCCTCTCCATCTACTTGTGATCTCTCTCTGTCAAATAAATAAATAAAATCTTAAAAAAAAAAAAAAGTCTACTTTGGCTGAGTTTGTGTCTCTGTGCGGATTACAAGCATCTTACTTTGAGGAATTTTTTTTTTTTGAGGAATTTTTGTATGAATTCACATGGAATAGATTTATTTATTTTTTTATTTTTTAAAGATTTCACCTATTTATTTGTCGGAGAGAGAGAGAGAGAGAGAGCAAGCGAGTGCAAGCAGGGGAGCTGCAGGCAGAGGGAGAAGTAGGCTTCTTGCTGAGCAAGGAGCCAGATGTGGGACTTGATCCCAGAACCCTGGGATCATGACCTGAGCCGAAGGCAGATGCTTAATGACTGAACCACCCAGTTCTCCCACACGGAATAGATTTAAAGACAAATACAACATCTTAAAAGTTTTACTGACTTTTTGGAGGTCACTTGCCCAGAAAGTGTACTATCAGAACTGAGAAGCAAACAAAACCAAAAGGAGCCCGAATAGCTAAATCAAAAGTCATGCTTATGTACCTTGTGGAGGAGAAGTCCTCAAGTAGTCATTTGGAATATCTTTAATATATTTTTGACATATTTTTATAAGCCTAAATCAGTTGGTTCCCGTTTTATAGTTGAATAGGGTATTGGAGATAGGGGAATTATTTGGTGATAACACATGGACAATGGGAAGAAATGACATCAGAAGCTCAAAAAGTGTAGCAACGTGGGCCTCTTAATGTGGAGGCCAAAGGTCTATGTAGATTAGCTGGCTCTAATATAATAGTTATTGGTAGAAGTGATGGTTAAAAAGTCTGCAAAATAATGCACTTTTTCTCTGTCATTTTAAATCCATCTGCTTCTACCACTGACACCACCCTGTTGCTGTTTTCACATTCTCCTGGCAGTAAAGTTGGAATTGAATGAGTGTAGTAAGATGGTTGCGTTCACTGAGGGAGCCCAGATCAACACAGGAAAGACCAGTACCAAGGCAGGGAAATATTCATGAGACACATGACCTGGTAGTTAAGCAAATAATTGAAAACAATGTCAAGAGCCCATTCACTGGAATACCCAAGGAATCTGGATTTGTGCTTTTACACTTATGGAAGGTTTCTACCAAAAGGAATTGATAACTTTTTTTAAATTAACATATTATGTATTATTTGCCTCAGGGGTACAGGTCTTTGAATCATCAGGCTTACACATTTTGCAGTACTCACCATAGCACATACCCTCCCCAATGTCCATAACCCAGCCACCCTATACATCCCTGCCCACCCAGCAACCCTCAGTTTGATTTGTGAGATTGAGAGTCTCTTATGGTTTGTCTCCCCCACCAGTCCCATCTTGTTTCATTTTTTCTCTCCCAACCCCCATGACCCCCTGCCCTGCCTCTTAAGTTCTTCGTATCAGAACCCCCACCCTGCCTCTCAAATTTCTCATATCAGAGAGATCATGTGATAATTGTTTTTCTCTGATTGACTTATTTCACTTTGCATGATACCCTCTAGTTCCATCCACATCATTGCAAATGGCAAGATTTCGTTTCTTTTGATGGCTGCATAGTATTCTATTGTATTTATATACCAAATCTTCTTTTGGTTTGGTATATAAATATATATATTTATAAATATATATATATATATATCCATATATATCCACTCATCTGTTGTTGGACATCTATGTTCTTTCCATAGTTTGGCTATTGTGGACATTGCTGCTATAAACATTTGGGTGCACGTGGTCCTTCGGATCACTACATTTGTATCTTTAGGGTAAATACCCAGTAGTGCAATTACTAGCAGGTAGTGTAGCTCTGTTTTAAACTTTTTGAGGAAGCTCCATGCTGTTTTCCAGAGTGGCTGCACCAGCTTGCATTCCCACCAACAGTGTAGGAGGGTTCCCCTTTCTCTGTATTCTTGCCAGCACCTGTCGTTTCCTGACTTGTTAATTTTAGCTATTCTGACTGATCTGAGGTGGTATCTTACTGTGGTTTTGATTTGTATTTCCCTGATGCCGAGTGATGTTGAGCACTTTTTCATGTGTCTTTTGGCCATTTGGATGCCTTCTTTGCTGAAATGTCTGTTCATGTCTTCTGCTCATTTCTTGATTGGATTCTTTATTCTTTGGGTGTTGAGTTTGCTAAGTTCTTTATAGATTTTGGATACTAGCCCTTTATCTGACATGTCATTTGTGAATATCTTCTCCCATTCTGTCAGGTGTCTTTTGGTTTTGTTGACCGTTTCCTTTGCTGTGCAAAAGCTTTTGATCTTGATGAAGTCCCCATAGTTCATTTTTGCTCTTGCTTCCCTTGCCTTTGGTGATGTTTCTAAGGAGAATATGCTATGGCTGAGGTCAAAGAGGTTGCTGCCTGTGTTCTCCTCAAGGATTTTGATGGATTCCTGTCTCACATTGAGGTCTTTCATTCATTTTGAGTCTATTTTTTTGTATGGTGTAAGGAAATGGTCCAATTTCATTCTTCTGCATGTGGCTGTCCAATTTTTCCAACACCATTTGTTGAAGAGACTGGAATTGATAACTTTTTAAAGTTTTGGTATTTAAAAGAGGTAAGCTCCAGGGACATGAAAAAAATCACTGGTGTAGAATAACTCATATACTCTGGCCTGGCTAACTCAGTTGTTCCACAGTAGTGAATTTAGAGGGCAGTGTGATTGTCATTGGGTGAATTGGAGATTGGGCACAAAAGA